AAGGTGTTAGGACTTATTTCTGGCTACGACATCGTATGTGTGCACTCCTGAGGAGTCCCATGCTAGGAAAAAACAGTTGTCCAGTGATTGCAGGTTCTCAATAGTTTTCTAACTTAGATCGGCTCATGATTTCAATAATGAAATAGTTTACTCATCGATGATGTCTAATGAAGGTTTGGACATCATCAAGTGTAATGAAGTGAATTTTTTTTTAAACAAGCATCCTACGCATTCTGATCTTATATTGCGTACAATACGAAATCAGGATGGTTTTATAAATTTGATTTTCATGTTTGGAGTTATGAGTGTATACCGGTCTTACAATTTCAAGACAAGAATGGAGCAAGTTATCCAGTACTCGCTTGTTTCCAATGGCTCTTTTATAGTTAACATATCAGTTCATGAAAGCAACAAGATGCAGAATATCAAGATAACTTCAAATTTGATTAAGTGTTCAGGCATTGGTAGATTCATTAATGACTATAGTTCGTAAACACGATAAAAAGTTGTGCAAAAAATATTTCCATCTGTAGATGGTATTCATCACGATTTAATCTTAGTTGAAACACTATTAGAAAAAAGGGATGAGACTTGAAGGTCGTAGTTTTCAACTCTAGCAAGATAATGAGTATGTACTGTTGAGGAATTCGACACTAGAACCGAAAGGCTGACCTGTGCCCCCTAGTTTTCAATAAGACTGCAGCTGAGATCAACCTATGGGAAATATCCTCCATAAAATCGCTTCGTCGAAAAAAAAACAACTTTAAAACTTGGAATCATAAAGTAACTTTAGATAGACCATCATTGGAAGCATTAGACGGGTATTTCGTCCTAGTATCAGACTTCTCAACTGTGAGCATCATGACTTCTCCAACAGGAACCGAACTCAATACATTCAGTTTAGCGTAAAAAAAAAACCATTCTAGGACAAACACAACTATCCAGTTCCTGATGATATCTAGAGAAGAACTATGAAAATTATTTATCTCATTCATTCCATTCTATAAATAAATACATAAACATATAATGTGTCACATTTACACTAGCATATCAGCATAACCTTAAGGTCAAAGATTGATTTGATTGATTGTTTAATTTCAGACTATAGACAATTTGGTCTAGACAATAATTAAACTAATATTATTGGAAAATGATTATGACCCATAGAACTAACCTGTTTACAACTAAACTGAACATTATTTGTCATAATAATCTGAGGAAAAATTCATTTATTATGAAAAGAAACACATTGATTGACATCATTGGTAAACACATAACCAATACAGTTTATTGTTGTTGTTGTCGTTGTTGTATGTAACCTAGTTAGGTATAAGCAGTATTGTAGATTTATTGGGTAAGAAGATCATTTCAATCATTTGAACTATGTATTAATTTACTAGTTGAATTCATAAGTTAATTGAAGCTAGATCATTATGGAAAACCTAGAAGAGTCCCATACTAGGACGAAACAGCTTTCAAATGCTTCCAGGTTTTCCATGATGATCTAGCTTCAATTAATTGATGAATTCAACTATTAAGTTAGTATAATATCCACAACCCCCCCTCTCTCTGATTATGTATTAATTGTTGTGTTCAAGGAAACATGATGATAATACACTGCAAAAACAATTGTAAATAGTGCCATCTGTTGTGAAATTTAATACAAAAAAAAGGAAAAAAAGATCAACTCTAAGAGCGTTAAAATAAAGTAAGATACATTCATACTGATTGATGTTTATTCATGATTACAAAAGTTTTGAAAATATTCAAATTCTATGCTGGAATTTTGTTCTCTGAACTGAATGGTTTCGTCGTGGAGCTTTCGTCGTTCTTCTGAACGACATCATGAGCACAAACTTCAGGTAGAAGTTTGATGATGAAGAAAATTTATGTCACCAAACGAAACCGACAGCGAAAAGAACTCAAACAATCAACATACAGGTTGTAATGTCATACCAGCACAAGGAAACGAATTAATAAAGTAGAGATAACTGCGGTAGGAACGGTAGTAGGAAAAGACAAAATACTGACAAATACAATCCGTAAAGGCATATATGAAGAACTATTGGAACTTACGAGTTAAAATAAGATAAAGTAAATTCATCTATGATACTCAGATTAGTTTCGAGTTATCTCATCCAACGGACCTCAACCAGGCAATGAGATTAGAAGATTCTAGGCTATAACCGTGGCACATTAAAAAGTCATAAACTAAATCAAGACAATTGTTCAGTGCTTTGTTATTTTCCATTGTATTTCAGTTGTGTCATTTCACAATGAAGTTCAGTTTGTAAAGTGTATATCACCAAGACTCCAACATTTCAGAGTCTGAATTATGTTAAAATTACTAGAAGTGATGAGGGCAATTATTCCGCATGAATGTTAGAAATCAAAGACACTTCGTCATAGTTTTAATCATCTCAGTAGTCTACAGATGTTGTGCCTATTATAAAACACCAAGATCTTAAGTTAGGTCACTGATTTAAGTATACGGTAGTGAATATAAACTTCTGAAGACGGATTTTTAAATGTATCCTTAATTTGTGAAATTCCCAATTTAAATTCATGAAAAACTGTATAATAGAAAGATTTAGAAGTAAAAAGTACTATTCAATGAAATGGTTTTTGGAGATTTGATTAGTTTAGGGCGGGACAATTTTCACTTGTTACAGAGCCACTGATTTCAGAAGACATGAAAGTTTTATATGGTATAAAACTATCAAGGCTGTACACCGATAAAGCATACAAGACTCAGTATTCTTCTCCCACGAATTCACTCGTTCTATCTGTGGTATTAGGATGAAAAAAGACAATATGTATATGGAAATACTCCTGTCTAGTTTAGGCAGGCTGACCTTAGTGTGCTCAGTAATCCAAAATTACGTTACACACCACGCATGAACGACTAAGTTTATAAACTGTTAGGTTTTGACACATCTTCTTGACTTTGTATGGTAGAGTTATTCAACTAACCAATCGATTTCTTAACACTTTACGTCCTCTGGTCACATTAATGAATATAAAATAGGAATTAATAAAACAAGATCAAACAGTCGCTCATGACCTGAACGTACACCTGGAAAGCAATTGTAATAACGACACAAATTGGAAGAATCATGAAGCACATACAGGAAAAGTGAAGGAAGATATTCAAATAATGTATTTAATGTATGGTTTTTACATTTTGCGAAGGCATTGTGTAATTTTGCATGAAATAGTAAATTGATTTTCCCCCACTGAGTTCTCATTCACTACAATACTACTGACTACGATTAGCCCTATTCTTTTTTGGATTTATAAAACATGAGAGGTGTTAAATAGGATCCAGAAACATTAATGCTTTGTTTTGATATGACTGAAGGAAAACAAATGCTAGGGTTATGTTTGGGACTGTATGATGTGGTCTGAATATTGATTATTTCCCCTAGATTGTCCATCTAGTACCAATGATATGATGATAGTGAGATAACAGCTGAGATCAATATTTAGAGACTACTGATCTAGAAAGTAGTTCTACAAAGCCCGATCGTTCGATAACTAGAACAAAGGACAACATAGAAATTAAGTAATGTATAATCATACATTTCATTCTTATGGCTCAACAGTCAATAAAAAGTGAAATTATCACCACACATCAATATAATTAAAAAATTGCAATGGAGGCATAACTACACCATGAATGAAAGAGAACAATGTGATAGGTATGTTATTAATTAACAAAAACTTTAACACAACAATAGCTTGTGTTGTTAAACGACAGCCTACAAGGAAGGGAAAACAAAGATACAATAATCCAAGGTAGAACAGTTCTAAGGTTGCAGTTTTGCTTAGTATTTTCCTGATTATAGCAGTTCTCCACAAAATTTTAGTCTATCACCATACACCTTTCACTTCTTCATTCTGATTAGTTTTTTTTGGGAGGGGGGAGCGAAACCATAGAAGCTTACTCCACTACAAAAATTCATTTCTGAAAACACAAGGAAGATTTATGTGGGCCATAATAAGTGATCGATGTTTTTGTACTAACACATCACTTTTAATGTATTTATACATCGCTTTATCACAGCTCCGTGAACTTTAACCAAGAACTTTACATTTCGTGATACAATGCACACTGGTAGTCAATGAATTCATGAACTGACACTATTCCTTGGTATAGCCATCTCCTAACCTTTTTCAAACATACTCTTATGCCCCGGTATGGCCGAGAGACCGCTCTCACACAGCCATGCGTATAAAGCCACTGCCTTCTCGTGGCATCACTGTTGTTTACGAAGTTGAGAAGACAAAAAGCGAATATCCGGTGCACTAACCGGGTTGGTGGGTACGTACAATCCACCTAGGGGAGTTGGAAAACCCTCATTCCAAACGAATGGTGTACATGGGTTCCAGTATCCTGCGGGAACAAATGACGTATGAACCAATCGTTGGTCACCGGCTACCATGGGACTGCATCTCCTTACGATGCTCCAATGCCTTGTGGACCAGATCTTTAAGTCGAAGGCTCCACCTACTTCGGCATGAGCACCCCGGCAGTACCACAGCCCACACACAAATCAAGTGACTTGTATGGTGCATATATGTCTGATGACACCTTGTATCAGTATATATGTGTTCAAATAAATAAATAATAATGTATATGCTTAGTAGAATTATGCTACAGTGAGAAGAGTGATTTGGTTTACTTAGAAAACCCGTTACAAACACCTCATTTAACGATCTATCGTTTTGTAATACACTACATAAAGATTTATAACCAAAATACATAAAAATGTTTTTGCCAGGTTCCCCACCCCTCCACTCCAGCTCTATACCATCAATTTGATTTGAACAACCATGAGTAATAGTAGTTGTTGTTGTAATAGTACCCTATTTTATACTTAATAATATTTCACAAAATCACAATCATCACCATTTGAACAACAAACCATATCCATTTCAATCCATCATCAAAGAAAAACAAAGAACAAACCAGTAATAAGTAATAACATTGTGTTTTATATAAAATTGACTTTTATTTATAAAGTAAGCATTAAAACAAGATGATCGAGATAAATGGAGTTAATAATCTTAAATGACATATAGGATAGAGTATAATCATATTGTATTGTAACTAGTTTCTCATGCAATAAGGGTATAGATAGAAGAGATAAAAACAAAACAAAACAAACACTGTTATGTAATTATTATAATTAGATTTTAAGAGAAGAATAAGAAATTATAATGGATCAATGGGAATATAGTATGAATTTATGGTTTTGGTAATCGAATACACAAAAGTAGACAACATGTTCATGAATTGTGTATACACAACATTAAAGAAAGATTATTGAGAATAAAGAATGAATCATTTGAATTATGATAAATTACATTAGGATGTAACACATTTCATACGATTCATATAAGAATTACAAGTAAAATGAAATGATAAACAGTAATAGGAAGAGGAAGAAGAGGAGGAAGAAGAAGAAGAAGAAGAAGAAGAAGAAGAAGAAGAAGAAGAGGAAGAAGAAGAAGAAGAAGAAGAGGAGGAAGAAGAGGAGGAGGAGGAGGAAGAAGAAGAAGAAGAAGGAGGAGAAGGAGAAGAAGAGGAAGAGGAAGAAGGAGAAGAGGAAATATAACATAAGATTAAAGAAGTGAATGTATGAGAAAAAAGAATAATGAACACCTATAGTTATTTCATAGTGAAGAGTAACAATAAACAAAGATGAATTCATAATTACATATATATATACACATATATATATGTTTAATGAATATCACATAATTGCTTAGTTTGGAGAAGAAAAACCACCTAGTTAATGTGTAAACAATACGATGAATATTACTAATATGAGTAGTGTTGTTAGTAATATGATTAATTTTTTTTTCAATAGTATATATAAATCACTCGGAATAAGGATGAGAAATGATACATATTTATAATATCAAATTGATAAGTGATTTCCTGTGAAAATCACATATAAAACTATGAAGATCATGACTAAAGAATAATGATAATAGAGATTGAAATGAAATCGAATACATAGACACACTTTCAGATCAAATCCATTTGATTCCTAATTAACATTAACATTGTAGATTCACTCATTCACATGAATTGATATCATCTGATCACTTATGATAATAAAGAAACAAAGAAAGAAAACTAGAAATGGTGGTTATTTTTAATCCAGCTTCAAATGATAAGTATCAATTCTCAAGAAAAGTAGCAATAGCGGTAAAAAGTATGTAGACATGAAAGAGTGATTGAACTTGAAATGGTACAGTACAACATTGTTTTGTTTTTTATACCAGTACTATATCATCATAAGATGAAGATCAAGGAGTTGTAGTAATGAGTGGTATGGGAGAATATGAGGAAAAAAAAGAGACTGAAATGAAACAAAAATTCTTTCTTGACCAAATCGAATAAAAAACTCATTCCTATTACTAACCAACTAACATATGATTACAAATTAATAATCCACTGTTAAATAAAACGAAACTAGAATGTTGAAACTATTAAATATATATATAACCCAAATGGGATTGTATTTGTCACACTTTAAAATCAGTCAGTCAGTAACAACGTAGAACTTCGTACGTACGTACATTAGTTCGAGTTGTCACACTTTAAAATATACTGTATTAAAAACGAAGTAAATGAAGTAAAGATAAAAAGAGAATAATTCTCATTAATAATTGTCCATCGATTGTTCTAGTTCCAAGAAACAATCTTGATGATCAATTGAATAATGATTAATTGATTCTTCTGATATTGTTCTCTTTATTATAGGCAATAATGGTGAAGATAATGATGAATGAGATGAGAGATCATTTAATTCACTAATAGATTGTTGTTGTTGATAATTGTTCGTAAATGATTTAGCTAGTCGAATTAATGTTTGAGAAGCATAGCTATTACCATAAGCAACTTCTTGCCAATCATCCTTTGAAAGATTTAAAAGAAAAATGTATGCATTAGATAAGTAATACTAATTAGCAATTTCCTTTTTATTTATTAAACAAACAAACGAATATAAGCAAAAGATGGATAGTGTCTAGGAGTGGAATCCAGTTTGATGCGCGTCTCTTCCTGTTTGGAACTCGTCAGCTGGATGTACTTGCATTCCAGAGCTGATGTTCACTCTGGGGACCCGAATCAAGTACTGTTCACTTTAAACGCCATCGTGTTATCCCCTTAGCTACTGAGTCCTGATAGCCACCTGTTTGTGTAATGGAGTGATGTTTTAAATTCACTTAGTGTTATTTAATTCTATCTCCCCATTCATATTTAGGACTGCAATTGATCAGCCTCTTGTTGGTTTATCAGCATCCTCTGCGGACCGCCTCGATATTGCCTTAGGTCACAAGCCAACAAGAGACTGATCAATTTCAGACCTAAATAACAATGGGAAGATACAAGTAAACAACACTAAGTGAATTTAAAACAAACGATTAGTTTCAAAACAAATGAGATGAATTATTACTAAACAAGTATGATATCGTCATTTCATTTTATTTGTGTGTGGGCTGTGATACTGCCCGGGTGCCCAAACCGAAGCAGGTGATTTTCCTAGGGAACCACACCCAGAGGAGCATCGTAAGGAAATGCAGTCCTATGGTAGCCGATGACGAACGATTGGTTCATATGCCATTTGTTCCCTCAGGATACTGGAGTTCAAGTGCACCATTCGTTTCGAATGAGGGTTTTCCAACTCCCTTAGGTGCACTGTCCGTATCCACCAACCCGGTTAAATCGCCGAATATTCACTTTTTGTCTTCTCAATTCCGTAAACAACACCCCTGCCACGAGAAGGCAGTGAATAGGACTTCCCTGGCAGAGGCTATATACGGGTGGCCGTGTGAGAGCAATTCGAAGGGGAGGGCGGGCCCTTCCAACTCTCGGCCTTACCAGGGCATTAGGGGGCCATGTATGATATTGTGTGACGCATATATATCTGGTGCCCCTTTTGTACCAATATTTATGTGTTCAAATAAATAAATAAATCAAAGTATGATATACAATGTACTAAATTTGATATTTCAGTGGATCTACCATAAGCATTACGCACATATGCACTTGATTCATGCTGTTTTGTATTGTATTTGTACTAAAAAAATCATAATCCAACATTGAGAGAAACATGTGTAGTGAATAGAAAAAAAAACATGAACAAATTATGAAACACTAAGAATAAGATTAAGTAGCAGTTACATAAAGGAATTAGCATACTTCATTTTTCTAAAACCTATTTGGGGTACATCATAGGAGATTAAAATATAGAAGGAATATTTTTGTGGTGAACTAATATGTTTTTGTTTAGTCAAATAGGATGAATTTAAAACGTCTGTATACTGAATAAAACATTTTAAAATAACGAAAGAATAATCAATCAATTGTGATAATCAACTAGATTCCTTCCGTCAAAATGTTAGTCTTTTCAGATATTCTCAGTGTGTATAATTCGTTTAATAAACAATCAGCCAAAAAGAGAACATAGACAATTAGCATTAATTGGTGACTGTTGTTCCTAATTATGTGAATCAGTTATAAATAATATAAGACTTGGGGGATAAATATGTATGAGGATCATGATGTCATACTAGAGTAAAATAGGAAAAAGGAGATTGATAGGATAGACAGACAGACATCATTAACGTAGAGACTGGCACAGATGTGCGTTGGCCTATGCTCCTATGCCTGCTCAGCACGATGACATGGGAATAATAAACGTGACCAAAATGACGTAGTAGTAATGAAAAAAAGACACACTATAGCTCCTACCCTAACATGGTGGTTCGGCTTGCATATCGCGATGATCCAATCAAGCTATAGTGGCTGGAACGCTTGTTTCTTATAAAGCAACTCGGTTGGGGGACGGTAAGACCAAAAACAGAAAGTTCATGATCCGAGAGTGAAATCGTACTATTGGACTATACAGGGGTGAGACATCAGTAAGGTATGTCTTTCTGATAGCCAGCATCTACAACGATGCTGCCTTCTCACAACAGAAGAAAGGAGTCAGAGAAGGTTAATCTTAAAATGTCACAACTTGCCTTACGCCATTGATTTCAATCTCCGACGGTAAGGACTTCTGAAATACAAAGTTAACACATCGAAAACTTGCAACAAAAAGATCATGTGTGATCGACCCCAAGCAGTCACGCTCCTTGGTCACTAAGACCAACGCTAGCCCAGTTTCTTTTCGAGGTCTCCCAAGAAATATCCTTCCATTGTGTGGGCAACCGGAAGGCGACAACTCCCCTATACGTCTAACAACGTATGAGATCACCTCGTTCGTAAACAAGCTCTATAAATTGACAGGAAACATGACAATGAAATAAATGTAATACTAGTGACTGTCTCTAGTCAGCCAGTCATATGACATGAGATAGTAGAAAATGTGTTTCCAGACAATATATCTCGACAACGTTGTTGTGGTGATAATCAAGCCAAACAACTGCATTGAAACCATGTATGTTCAGAAGACTATCGAGAAAATTGATAAATAAAAACTTGAGAACGGTTATTTGAACTTCTGTTTATTGAATAAGGTTGGAAAAAGTATTAATTGTAAGGTTAGTCTACACTGCAAAACAAAAATCATTTTATCAATAACAACAACAGTATTTCCAAAATATTGAGGTCTGGTCTCAGATGAGAACTTTAAAATTCATCACATTTCATAGTCCATTTTAAAAATGGATGAAAATGTTAATTGTTAGTCAAATGCATAATTATCAGAAGGGGTTAGACATTAACACCTTTGGATGCCGGCTCAGTGGTCTAATGGTTAAGCGCTCGCGCGCGAAGCCAGTAGATCCTGAGTTCGAATCCCGCGGGGTGCGGGATCGTGGATGCGCACTGCTGAAGAGTCCCATACTAGGACGAAACGGCCGTCCAGTGCTTCCAGGTTTTCAATGGTAGTCTAGCTTCAACTGACTCATGATTTCAATCTGTGAAAATACATAATTGTATAATGAAGTTGCATTTCATGTAAAACAGATTGGACTTTTTCTATTATATAAACTTACTTCATTAGCAATTTGTACAATACGTCGAAGTGTTAAATGAGGTTGTTTTCTAGCAGGAAATTTTAATGGTTTTAATGGAGGATTAAAGTTAACATCATTATTAACTATTTGAGAATATGATTTATAAGGATATAGATTATTATGATAATTCATCATTGTATCTTTAGAAATTGAAAAGTTAAGAGAATGATATGGATTCATGTTGAATTCATTCTCATTGAATAATCTGTTACAATTATTATTATTCGTAGTAAAATAAGAAAGATGAGATTTTTGAGATGTTGACAATGAAGATGTCGCAGTTGTTGATGTAGAAGTGGTTGGTAAAAGTGCTCGATTCCAAACAGTAGCTTTGGCTGTAAGAATAGCTATACATTTAGCTTCATCACAGGAATTATATGATGTTGTTGAAGAGGATAACGTTGAGAAAGCTTTCTCGGACAAATTATTACGATTAGTATTACTAACTGTAAACGATGAAGAAAGTGACGTTGAAGGAAGAGAAGTATTATTTGGAATATTATCAAACAACCTGGTACAGAGTGGTCTCTGAAGCATTGAAATATGAATAAAAAGTAATTCAGTAGCACACAATATATCAGTAAATATGTAATCTATAAAAACTGGGTTAATAAACTAAGTCACAGTTGAATTACGCAGCTTCACCATGACTCTATTAATGAGGATAAATAGACAATAAAGTCTATTTAAGCATAGAAATTATTGTATTAAATCAATTGAAGTGAACATAATCCACATGCTGTTCTATCACATGGAGTTCAATTGTCAGTGTTAGTGAACTGTAAAGTTCTTTACAATAACCACCACTAAATGATCAACAGTAATATTAATTAACTGAAATTAATCCCTAAACGTATATAACAAGAGGCAGATTGAAGTTTCTTTACAGACATGAAGTGAACAATAGCATTGTGCCTGACGACGGTTTTAAATGAACAAATTCATATTTATCCATACATCCATTATCTACAACCGATTGTTTTCCTTCAACGATCCCGATAATTAAGTCTTACAAACGTACACCAAAAAACAAATGAAATATTTGATGAAATGTTAAATCCTTTTGGATCATACTCGTAGAAACTTAAGGTCAATGATCACACTTCCTTGGCCCTAGCCTCGAAAAATCAGCCAGTAGACCTTTTACGTTGATGAGAACACTGAATATGTACAATATTTCTGTGGTTTCCGAATACTGATTCATTCTCCGAATGATTTTCGATAAACCAAATTCGGGAAAATCGTCTATGCACACGGTTTTAGTAAGACACTTAGGTTTAAAAGTTAGATCAAGTCATTCTATTTACCAAACTCACTTCCAAAAGATTACTTATTGTTGTCGAAATGCGAAACGGTTATGCAGAAGCTGACGATAAAATGTTAAAACGAGAAACTAAAATAAAGCAGCAAAAGCGCTTAACTTGTAAGAATTCCTGGTACTAATTTTTGACAATAGGAATGGAGACAGAATACATTTATTGTCATAATTTGAAAGCGATTAAGACTGGTACGGCCGAGAGTGGGGAGAGTCAGCTCTCCCTCTCGAAATGCTCTCACATGGTCACGCGTATATAGCCTCTGCCAGGGAAGTCCTACTCACTGCCTTCTCGTGGCGGGGGTGTTGTTTACGAAAATGAGAGGATGAAAAGCGAATGTCTGGCGCTTTAACCGGATTTCAAACCAATGGTGCACATGGGCTCCAGTATCCTGCGGGAACAAATGGCGTATGAACCAATTGTTGGTCACCGGCTAACATGGGACTGCATCTCCTTACGATGCTCCACCGCCTTGTGGATCAAACCTTTAGGTCGAAGGCTCGGGGTGTGGTCCCCTAAGAAAACCACCTGCTTCAGTTTGGGCACCCGGGCAGTATCACAGCCCTCACACATATCGAATGAGATTTGTGTGGCGCATATGTATTTGGTGCCTCCTTGTACCAATATCTATGTGTTAAAATAAATAAATAAAAACAAAGGTTTCTATGAACTCAGTCAGTGTATTTATTTGAAAAGACCATGTATAACATCATAAAGTAAAACAAAAAGTTGACATCACACATATACAAAACTTACGCGTAACGGTGCACCGTCTCCTCTTATTTGTGAACAACGTGGAATTGTTGAACCAATTGGAGTTTTATCTAAATCTGTTATTTTATGATTTAAATTAGTAACAGGATAACGACCAGCAGAACCTAAAACAGCTGGTGGACTAGTTAAATGAAATGATAATTGATCAGCTTCACTTAATGCTTTTGTAGGTGTTTGTATAACAAAATGATTATTATTAGTATTATTACTGTTGTTATCATCAGTTATCAGAACACTTAACGATCCATTTGTTGTCTGATGAATTGATTTTAATGGAGAGGTTGTTTTTGATGAACAATTATTATTATTATTGTTATTATGATTATTATAAAAATTAAATGAAAACGAAGAAGTAGGAGAATTAGTGAGATCGTCATTTATACTAGATTCAAGTAATTTAGGTGAATTTGATTTGATAAATAATAATGATGATGATGATGGTAGGCTGAATTGAGATTTATCAGGACTAGATAATAATGGACCATTTTTAATTAAATCCACTGGAGTCGATGTAGATAATAAGGAATTGTGGGAACTGTAGATAAGAGAACAATAAGTAGAGCAGGGAGGAAAGAAATAGTCATACTTTAAATATAATATGATTATACATAGCCAATAGAACATAAAAATATCAGAATTTCTACACTACTTGTGTTTGACTTTGTGAAATAACTCTAATGTCTATGGTAGAACACCTTAAGGAAAAAAATGGCTCAGAATCCGTGTTAACAACAAAGAATTTATATGTTACTTTCTTTACTTCAAATCTTCAGTTTGAATATCAAATTAGTGTTTATCATCTTCTTATATTTTCCATTCATTTTCAAGTATCTTCTCTATATTGTGTTTAGCACTACAACTAATAATATATAGACCATTTTGTTTATTTCTAGTTAATTTCCTCTCTGGCTATTTCTGTGTAAAATCTGATAACAAGCATAAACCGACTGTATATCTATACCAGATTTAATGGAACTTATAAATAACTAATCAACATGATCCAAATACCACCAATCAAGCCTTACATTTACAGTAGGACGAATTACCAGTGAAGATTTGTAACTTCATTGGTATCAAACTAACCCAGTTGATGGTTCAAATTTCACAAAAAACCTTTTTCTCTTATACATAGGTTATTAACGTTGGTGATTACTAACCCAAATTGTTTTTGTTGTTCCAATTATAAAAAAGCACTTCGGAGGGAGATTGTTCATTTGAAAGATAGTTTACATGGTGGTTTGACTTTAGCTAAACAATCATTACAAACCAAAGAATGCTGACAAGATATTTTATTTTAATATAATCTTCAGAAGCATTCCTGAAATTCTAGTGAGAAGCTATGACTGGCGGAGTTCGACCAAGTTAACAGTCATACAGTTATTACTGGTGGTGGTAAATGATGGTTGTGCAGACGGAATACATTGAAAAATGTGGACTACCGGATAGACTCGGTATCATGAAGTTCGACTCAAAACAAGGTCAAAGATGTGCACTGCTGAGAAGCCCTATATGAAGACGAAACAACTAACTAATCCTTTAAGGTTTTAAATGGTCGCCTAACCCGTAGTATAAGACCATCTTCAATTGTATTTTCTAAAAATTCAAATTTTTGTTTATCTATTTAACTTAATCCGATTATTTCAAATTGAACATAGATGGAATATTTGTCAGAGAATCCTGAAAAAAATAAAAATAACGGATACAAGAGCATTTTTATTTACCTGATGGAAGTCGTCACAACCGAATACCTCAGAGATTGCTGAGAATTACTTCCACCAGATTGGACACTGTTCGACAAACCAGATTCACTAAACTAATTTGTGTACACATCAAAATAAAAAAATAATTTGAAGATGAGTGTACTCAAAGATTTTAAATAAACATCTATGAAACAAGTCTTAATTCAAAGAAAAATAAGGAGATAGGTGCTTAATGTGATGATCCATCAGTGAGGTAATGACTTGATGGTTAAATTCCATCTAATTTTTTCAAAGATCGAGGGTTCGCAAATTTCGAATCCCATGGGGCTTCACTGATTTCGGTCTAGATAATCGGGTGACATCACTATCGGCTCTTTAACACAAACTATATGGCTTAAAGCATTGTGTATATGCGTTACGTATGCCCAAGCACAAACTGCCCCCGTTGAGCGTTGTTTTATGGTGTAGGAGTAGGTTGGAAGAAAGCTAGGGGTGACCAGACCCAAACATGGCACAAATCCATGAAGCCACTAACAATAGGACTGAGCCATGTTGGTAGGTGTAGACTACCTGGTTGGGATCCGCGAGACAATAGTAACCGATGGTTAGAGACCTGGAATGACATGGTTCAAAATCGCTTGCAATGGTGCAGGTGCATCTACTCTTTGTGTTTTCCTAAATTCTAATCTTCTGAATTTTTCATGTTCCTTTCTTTTTTCTCTTTCCAAATTTATTTCACTGCATTATACTCCTTGAATAACATCTTCAAACCCTAATCTCCCGGATTACTGCTTTTACTTTTACTACCTCTACCACTATGGGATTTGAATCAATAACTGCATCTCTGTTCTAATGTGGTATGGCAACTCGAACTAATATACGTACGTACGAAGTTCTACGTTGTTGCTGACTGACTGACAGTACATTATTACACACCTAGTTTAACGGAGTCAAACGTTTTACAATCAATTAAAATGACTGTTTACCATTTGTTCAATTTTGTAAAGAACATTTTAATGCTCATTAAAGAGATAGGATATACATATATACAAATTCTCATCAAGATTATAATGCTGACCATTATCTTACAAGAAAATTTATCAATAATGAACTAATTTTTAAACCAACTCTCCCCATTCTCGGCCGTACCAGGGCATTTGGGGGCTTTGAACACAATTTCAATATTCAATTGGTTACATATATGAGGTTATAGTTGAATAATTCGGAAATGCTTAATTTAACCTGTCATTTTTATAGTTTGATTATTCACATAAAAAAGAGGATTCTTTTACTTGTTCATGAAATAAAGCATATTTATTTTAATAATTGAACTAATATCACTGACTTTCGTGTTTATAACAATTGTCGAGTTAGACGAGACTTGACTTAATAGTTACATATACAGATTTCATGTATTTGACAATCAGTCAGTCAGCTACAACGTAGGACCAGGCACATATGTGCATCGGTCCAGGTTGCCATACCGCATCAGCACAACAAGATGAACACCGGATTCATAGCAGTGGTTAGGTCAAAGGTAGTAATATGTAGGAGAAAGATTGCATATAGAGATATAGTACAAGAAGAAAAAATTGGTTCGTAGAAAGAAAGGTATGAAGCGATTTTAATCTCTTAGTTTAAGGGAAGGCAGAGAGTGTATACACCGACTCCATTGTGATCGATTCTGAGCCATGTCACCAAGAGTCTCCAGCCATTGGTTACGATAGTCACGCGGACCCCAACCAAGTAGTCTGCATCTACCAACATGGCTCAGACTAGAAGTTAGTGACTTCAAGCACTGATGCCACGTTTTGGTTTGGCCGCCCCTAACTTTCTTCCAACCATTTCCAATACCGGATAGCATTGCACGTCGTGGTAATCGGTGTTCAGGCATGCGTATTTGACAATGGATGACTTCGAAAATATCAAGACAATCAAATGAGTAATACTGATGTAAGATGGATAAAGTGGGATTAGTAAAATGGATGATAACTTCGTGAATCTCAATCAACTGAGGTGGTTGATATATGTGTTAAATATACGAGCTAATACCAATTGTGATTTGTTAAGCTGGTTAGTGTACAGGAGTAGGTCGGAAGAAGAGTAGGGAGGAAGTAAGATGATATCCGTTTTTTTAAAATCACTAAACATTGTTTTGAGATGTATTAAGAGATACAAACAATCAAGCTGACGTACAAATAAAAATAATAGTGAATGACAATTGAAGTTCCTACACTATACAGCTGTAAATTGGCATCAATATCATAGATTGTTCCCCTATTTCATTTGTTCCTTTCTAATTTCATTTATGTTCGATTTTCCCAATAGTTTGGTACTATTTTCATTGTTCATAATGATTTCTTGTAGCTATATATATTAATGTAAAGTGTTACAACCTAGCTTGACACATATATGCTAAGTTGTTTATGACTGAGTTTCGTGCGCGAGCACTTAACCAGTAGGTTCTGGGTTCGAATCTCGCGGAGGGGGGCGAGGTTGTGGATGAGCACTGTTGAGGAGTCCCACAATAGGACGAAACGGCTGTCCAGTACTTCCAGGTTTCCCATGGTTGTCTAGCTTCAACTGACTCATGATCTTAACCATTGAAATTACTATAATATCCACAAAACCCATTTGAATGAATCCACAATATTTATTTGTACTTTAAGATGTTATTTCCTCCTACAGGATAACATCACACACTATAAGCTAAGCAAAATTGTTAAGGTCAAAGTGTTCTTAGCTTAAGGCTTTGTTAGTGAAAAATAGGTCAGAAAAACATTGTAAATTTGGCGATTACGCAATCATTGATTCAGAAAACATGCTTAAAGACACAATAAGAAAGTCTTATTCCCTATGCTAATCGTTTAAGTGTGATTCAGCTTTAACTATTTATATTGATGGTGGTATTCATGCCGAATATCGATAAATGTTTACCTATTCAGTATACATGATACTTGGATACATTTGAGCAGTAATTTGTTCGAATTACAAATAAACAATTTGTCGACGAAAAAAAAGACCAATACGGAAAGTAACATTGCTCAGTGTTGTTCTACTGATCCAGTGATGATCTGTTAGCAATTCTCTTGCAATTAAAGTTTGCTGGAAGCTAACAACGTGTATGACAATATATAGCGGTGTTTTAGCGTTGAAAATTAAAAGATATACTTTTTTTTTGTAAACCCTAGTTACGGTTTATCAAGTAGATAAGCCTTACACAACAGGTATCCGTCACTTCGGTTAGTGACTAGTGCGTTATAATATTGATTAGACAGACAGGAGTTTGAAGTAGTTACAAACTAAGTAGTAATCTTTAGGGAGTGATCTACATATCTCTTCCCCCTTTACTTTATCACATTGGTGCTCCCTTTACAAATTTAAATAAAAATAAAATTGATTTTCTTAATTGAATACAATGAATTCATTTCATAACATTGTTTTCGCCTGACAATTACGCAACCTAAGCTGATAAGTTTAACTAGGTCGAACTTTGTGACTTTTAGATATGTAAGCATCTACTTCTCTTATCAACTATTTACCTTATCTGAAGCAATTAATATTATAATTTAAAATCAATATTTTCTCCATCACTTACACCTGAATCATGATGATGAATAGGTTGGGTCAGACGAATTTTCCAATTTCCATTTGTTGTAGAATCGTAATTCGACTTTAATGAAGATAATGGGATTAGATAGGTAGGTCGAGGAATGTTCTTACTAATTATTGATTGATCATTTGAACTTGTGTTGTTGTGAGTACTGTTATTTTTAGGACTATTTGACCAGGATAATCTGGGAAGGAAAAATGAAGAAAAAACAATTGTGAATATTGTCAGGGTTGCCAAAATTATCGAGCTTCACTGAAATCATGAACCGGCCGAAGTTAAATAACCACTGAAAACTTGGAAACACTGAACGTTCATTCCTTCTTACTACGGGGCACCCCTCAGAAGTGCGCATCCACGACCCCACAACTGTAATCGAACAGAAGACCTTCGGTCTCGTGCGTGAACGCCTAACTTCCAAACCACCGAACCGCAATCCAATGGAGACCAAAGGTTTTGGATTTGATCTTCTGTTGAGTCGTCGTGAATACACACTCCTGAGGAGTCCCATACTATGGAGAAACGGCAATTCAGTGTTTCCGAATATCCAATGGTTGTATAACATTGATCGGTACATGATTTCGATGAAATTATGAGTATGTTAAGGGATTATGTAAATTAAGCATGTACAATGATGACAATTCTACCCGAACCAATGACAGACGACAGATAGACATCGTCAACATAGAGACTGGCACAGATGTTCTTTAACCTAAGTTGTCATATCAGGTCAGCACGAGATGAAAATAATGAGACCGAGATACTGTAGTAGCATTGATTATAAGATTAAACATTAGGAATATGTTTTGAAAAGACAGATTAGAAAGATATGTATGAAGGGACTCTGAGATTGAAGGCTAAGAAAAAGATAAAGTGATTGAGTCTGTACTAAGTCTTAAACCACTGATCGCGGTCATCACATGGATCCCTATCACGCAGACTGGATCTACCAATATTGTTCAGACTACAAGTCAATAACTTCATGGAATGATGCCACCTTTTGGTTTGGCTGCGCAAGACTTCTAACCAACATACCTATGCAATAATAAGAACCGCTCGTCGAGGTAGGCGGCGGTTGGGTATATGTAAAGCATGTCATAACCACCTTCGTCGATCAGGATTTATGACCACATAAACCGTTTTGCTGAATCCATAATAATCAACCATTCAACGGATTTCTAATTACTATTATTATCCGGCTTTTGATAATAAGACTCCTGATAGTTTTGATCTTTTTCCTCTGCATACGTGCTTAGTCAGGAACGTACATAATAACTGAATTGACAGTAAAATATATTAATGTAATCATAAGAATCTGTAACAAACCTACAGACGGGCATTCGATTAAAACAAAAACACCATATCGTTCGGTTTTGTCGTCTACACAATTTAATGTCTCGGGAAATATTAATCATTTTGTAATCAAACAGTTGGATTGTTAGGCGTGATATGAAATTACGATTTAATCTTGGCGTACTTTAAAAATGTATCATATGATTTTACTTGTAGAATAATGCTTCAACAAGTAAACAGATTTTAGACAAGAATATTTTATATGTAGGGATTTATAATCGCCTGAAACGGGACTAGGATTATTGCTCTATTCCCTTATACAACAGATGATGTTTAGAAAAGAAAAAGTATTTGTGAGAGAATGCCGAGACTCTATAGGTAGCGAAAGAAAAAAGGTGAATGAATATCCATTAATGTGATCGAACCTACGTCATGTCACCCAACGTCTTCCAACCACTGATCGCTATTATCGTGTGGTATGCTAATGACATTATTAAATTATAAAGCATGATAAATTAATGAATCGATTAAAAAGTCAGTCAGTAGCAACGTAGAACTTCGTACGTATGTATATCAGTTCGAGTTGCCATACCACATTAGAACAGAGATGCAGTTATTGATTCAAATCCCATAGTGGTAGAGGTAGTAAAAGTATAAGCAGTAATCCGGAAGATTAGGGTTTGAAGATGTTATTCAAGGAGTATAATGCAGTGAAATAAATTTGGAAAGAGAAAAAAGAAAGGAACATGAAAAATTCAGAAGACTAGAATTTAGGAGAACACAAAAAGTGGGTGCACCTGCGCACACATCAGACCACAAGGGCTGATGAGACTTCCAAGATAAGTAAAGTGATCGACATACTCAACTACGTCGCTCCCTATAGTCGATTAGAAATGCGATATTAAGAAACCCATTAATTTTATGTTGTGATCATCGAAACAAGAACAATATCTCAGCAAACAATATAAAAATTAACTTACATATGAGTAGTAACTAGACAGAAATATATTTTTTTTATCAGTGAACTACACTTTTGATACAACCTGATTATTCCCAGTCAGGTAATTGAAGCATGGTTTAAACCCACAGCTAAAAATTTAAAAGTTGAGTGCTTTAATAAGTAAGCCATAAATTCGCTTTGAAGTAAGTTCAAACTACGACTTAATTAGCTGTGGGGATTTGTGTGAATTCCTTGGGTTACATTTATGATAAGTGCAAATAAGAACTTGTTTCAACAAGATAAACTTACAGCGAATTACGAAACAGTAAACTAGAGAGTGGACGATTTTCTTGATCATAATTGGGCCAATATTGGAGAACAACTTTTTCATATCGTTGTCTTACATCTACAGCAGTTCGTTTTTTATGCGAACTACCACTAGTGGTTAGGCGATTAGCTATTAACTCCCAATTGGATCCATATGTTAAATACAACTGGAGGAGAGTTGAGTCTTCATCTTTTGTCCATGTTGAATTTTGATCTGAATTGAGAATTGTTTGTGGTATAGCTCTATGTTGTATTAGAGTTGTATAGGTTTTACTGGATCCTAACATTTGAGGACGTAAATGCTTCAAATATCTAAAAAAAAGTGATCGATCTGAGTGAATTATTTTTATAAAGATTTCAAATAGATGTCAGTTTTAAATGTAAAACTCATATGTCAAGGTTTTTGAAAAAAATATAAGCGGATTGACTTTGGATAGTCATGTTATACCTCAATTGGTCAATTTAAAATAACTTTCTCAGGTTGACCGATTGTAGTATATATTAACTGTACCTTACACAGAATAGTTTCACTACCAATATAGTTCATGCATGAAACTAAGTCAGTCTTGAACCATATTTACACTCAATAGGTTGGGAGGCAGACTTAATACATTACTTAAGTTAACAAGTAAAACGCTTACATTACTATACTACATTAATCGATTTGAAGGAGTTAGGGAGAAGCATAAAACAACAAACGAGATTCTAAGTACATGTGAATCCATGAATTACGATGTGAACCACAGAGGAAACCATTTACTACAATTTCACTTAATTGATTAACTTAAATAGCTTCCAATCAATATATAAGTTGTCGAAGTATTTTGTTAGCATATCATATAATACTGAAATCTTATCCAATGAATAAAGCTTTTTATCATCATATGGTGAACAATGGTTAAAATCAGATAGTCAGGTACAAAATCAGAATCGTTTTGGGAATTGAATTTTTTAAAACCTACACTATAGAATATCAAGCCAGTAATATGGATGGTGGTTGTTTGAAATTTATCGCTTAGTTGGCATTTGTACTGATGCCAAAACGTACTTGCTCACAGATACTTTCCTCCCCCTCCGTATCTTAGTGAATACTAATCATTGCACAAGTAGAAGCCTATCGTTGTCATGAAAGACAAAGCAATTAATCGAGTTAACAGGTTATTCTGTAACTGGAATCATTCGTCAGCTTGCACAAGATTCATAAACAAAAAGTATTAAAAAGTAATCATAGTCGTTTACGATATAAAGTTGGAACTTGAAAATGTGGCCAAAAAATGGAAGTAATGTGACTAAATCATGAATTAAATTTATGAACTTTAGTACATTCAGAACTATAAACACACCGTAAGGCAAATTTAATTTCTGGAGAAATTTTATTTAGACGAAACGGGAAAACAATAATTTACCATCATTTACCTTTCTGAGCATTGAAAAGCTGACTTGCCAAGTTTTTTTCCAATAAGATTCCAACGATTTTCACCCAGTCGAGAGACATGATCAAGCAGTCTGCAATCTTCTAGGTTCGTCCAACTTCCAACACAATCTTCAGATCTTTCCTTGTGCGTTTCATGAAAACCAGTCGTAAGACTTGTTAAACCACTCCCAATAGTAGTATTACTGTCTTTCCAATTAACTCGATGCGGTAGTTCATCTAACATAACTAAAATGACAGAAAATAACTTATTAAGAAAACTTGGATAACTTCATGCTAAAGTAAAAAAGTTAACTGAAAATACTACTAGCTACCGAAACCCATAATAAAAATATGAAGTGAAACATTAAATAACTTTTTACTGAACATGAAAGAGAAAATAAGACAACTGATCTTTTAAATTCTAATAAAAAACTACTTATATTATCGAGAATGAGAAAGGATTTACGTATATATATGTATTAGACTAATCACGTTTAAATAACGGTGGTAAGTTCAACTCTGAAGTAATATGATGATAGGAACAGACCAACAAAGAGAACCCAGTAATAAATTAGTAGGTTACTGACAACATATGGGGAACTAAACAATAAATAGGTTGGGACAAGTGTAATCGAACGAACTAAATACATTGACAAATGTTAGGCAAACAAAAGATAAGGAAACTAGCAAACATTCAGCACCTACATTCATGTGAAAAATACTACGGTTGAATAAACGAAAAATATTTATGGGATAGATAAGAGCGGGTATGAGTAAATTTATGTCAGGTTACAGATACTGTAGGCAAACTGTGGATACAATTTTTTAAGTTGATATGAGTCCATAGTTTAGCGATTAAAACATTTTGATTCCAACCGGTTTAAACTTTACTGTCTACTTCAGTTTTTGCTGACCGATTAGTATCACAAGGTATAATATGGTGTAGCTCAAAGCAACTGCATAAATTTGTAGTATGTGAGTTAAGTACATAGACAATAGGACCTGTATTAACTATTTGCAAGTGTATAGAATCAACCAATTTGATCTTTCTACTGTTCCACTACATATTTTAAAAGTCAAGCTTTTGAGGTAACAATTTTCACAAAATTAAAATTTGTTATATTGTATGGAGCTAGCTAGCTTAAGTTATAATTGATAATTTTAAAAGGGATTTATTTACCTGTCAAGCTACGCTTCTGTTGTTTAGGCATTCAAATGCGAACCGATGGGTCACATTCAGATCGATAGTAATTACATAGGACCTGACAAAATTATGCAAGTCGCTTTATTCTATCAAATAACAGCTTTGGTGGTTGAAAACTAGATATAAGACACTTCAAAAGGAGCAAAACTGATAAGCCAAAGGAATATGAAGAATTGATACATCGACGTCAGTAACACTTGTTCTTGGTAGTAATTCAAAATCTTCAATGTCATAACTATTTTGTGAACCCAAACCAAAACATCTGTAACTCCCGACTTAGTCTACACTAACAACGAATGACCTTGCGAACCAATACTGTTTTAATCTGATCCTCTTTTAATTTTCCATTGGCTAGCTTATAGCAGCACCATAATAAGTGGCGGCTGGTAGATTTAGCGTGTTGGGTTTACCTTATTAGCTAGTTCATCATTTCCACTTACTAGTTTTTACTTCTGCATTACCTATCCAATTATCTTTGAGCAATGCTTTGAAGCAACTTATCGAATACATGCAACCTGTTCACACCAGATGCTTCAAAAAGTCAATATTTATCCGCGTGAAGTGTCATAGAGCAAACTACTATGCAATATACCAACCCTTTGAAAAGTAGATATTTTACCTGTGGCACAGGGGATGTTTAGTAAGATTTAAACAAAGTTCCCGAACATATACTGAGATTTTTACATCCATCAGCCCGATAGCTATCGTTTTATTATGAATCAAAGTTGACTTTGTCGATACAGACTGATTTACAATCTATGACTAAACTAAACACTTGAACCTACCAGTATTGAAATAACATATTTTTCATTATGAAGGGAAAAGAATTTTAAACCTTTAAGTAATATCACTCGAGGTGCTTAAGAGCCAGTACTTTGTCAGCGTTGCAACTGAATAACTGTTGAGTCCCTGAAATAAATGGATCTACAAACAATAGATTATTCCCTGAGAAATTAAATAACAAAACAACCATTTAGGGGCAGATCTGAAGAGGCCGGATTTACAGTATTACAAACAAATGAGTTCAATATGGGCCACATGGACTACGGTTATCCATATTCCAGATGCGGTCTCGCGAAGGTTGGGTATAATACTCTAATCATTTCTTCGTCCAAGTACTGGAAAGACCTACGAACAGCTCATAATGTCCCAAAGCCTTTGGCAGCAGCAGCCTTGCAACTGCCCATTGTTTCGAAGTCGCTACTTATTATGACTCCTAAATCTTTATAGTCCATTATATTGGGTAACACAAGTTGTTGCATCACCACACTCCTGTTGAAATTTACTTCTAGTGACCACCCACTAGTCCATGCCACCAACGAATTGAGATCATTCTGTAATATTATTTTATCTGACATAGTGTGTATAGGTCTCCAAATCTTTATCATCAGCGAAGAGTAGGACGAATGACTTCGCCACAGTTGAAAACTCATTTGAAGAAAGTAAAAAAGAAGACCAAGGATTGTACGTTGAGGAACCTCTATTTTTACAGGTCCCCACACTGAGAGCTCCATTTACCCTTACCTGCTTTCTCCTATCATCGACAAAGTCACTAAGCCAGACTATGATTTTATAATGGATTCCGAAACTTTCCAGTTTTGATTTAGGATCTGAATGGAAGGCCTTATCAAAGGCTTTACTTAGATCTATGAAAATCACATCTACAAGGATTCTTCGGCCTTTTGCTACGTCTCAATCTCTTCTTGCAACTAGCAGATTTGTCAAGCATGATAGGCCTTTACGAAAATCTTGTTGTTCCCCGTATAAAAAATTATGCCTTTCCACATGGTTTATAACAGTCATCCGAATAATCTTTTCCATTAGTTTGACAACTGTACTGGTTAGACTAACGGGTCGATAATGACTAAATCTCTTCTCCCCGCCTAAGAACAGAACGCATCCGTACGCAATAATTGATTTTAAAGATCATTTAGTACTAAAATAGAAGTCAAGACACTTATTCAAATCAATATCGCATAAATAATATGTCATTACAACAACCCCTTTGTTTTACCCCCACTTTACACTTCTTATTGGAAGTAGTGACGATATTGATACAAACAAACAAACATCGATTCACACATTACATTTTCCATAAGACTCCTGAACTGATACGAAAATGTTAATCTCAGAAAATATTTAATACATCTGATTGTTTTTAGATGGTCTTCCAATATTTGATACCCACTATCTATATAACGAGCTGGTTTAAATGTGTAGGACCAGTGAAATGTCTCTGGGCCCAAGCCAAATCATTCGGCAGTCGGTTCACTGAATGTCGAACGGTTCGCCGATCCTTGTTAGGTTCAATGACAGCCAACACACATCAAATAATCGCACGCCATGGACTTGTTTAGGCGGTGGTGGTTGCACATTATTCTTTGTACCTACTCCTATTAATATATTTCTGTAATAACATCCTTTGTGTTGTACGGTGATTAAACCAGCCACAGCGTCTGAAAACAACAATGGGGTAACCCATGTTAGGTTCTGACTGCATAAGGTGACTTCGAAGTAAGCTATTTCGTCACACTATCACCGTCTATCTCAAGTAAGCCTTCAATCAGTTGACACAGATGATCTACGTTAGTGATCTACAAATCTACGCATCTATTTGCGCTCCCAGCATGTTTTCTAAACCACTGGCTGTCATGATTTCAGGGAGGAAGTTGGTTGAATTAGAAAATTCTACTATTGCGGATATATGGTTGTTTCATGTGTCAATTAAGTTAAATAATTAGTAATGGGTAGATATGAACAAACTGAAGTGTATGAGTAAAAAGGAGGTGGTGATTGTTGAAACTGAGATAGGAATTGGCTGATAGGACGTGGTATCGATAGTAGCAAATAAGCTGTGAGACACAGACCAGGTACAGATTGTGTAAGGATTAAATGATAATCCATGGGTGAGTGTGCGTTCGTCCAGTCTCCTCATGAAGCTATTCATTATAAGGGCTGTGATCACTTTGACTCGGAGAGCATTCCAAACAGGGATGTGCCCGAGTTTTCGATCTTCGATGTGCGGAGGTTGGCTCGAGGAGCTCAGACTGGTTTTCTTCTATGAGTTTCGTGTAAGGGTGATGATGGGTCACTACCAAGTCAATTCTTACTCTCCTGCAGAACAGCAAGAATGATCCTAAGTGTTGAAGTTTATTTTTACTAGATTTGTTGATCAGACTTATCACCCACTTAGTAGCCAGCTCTGTACTTAAGAGATTTATGTCACTTTCCAAAAGGGGAACTTGTATGGTCAGTGAAATGTCCTTGAGCCTAGCCAAATCATCCGGCAGTTGGGTCATTGAATATCGAACAGATAATTGTTCTTTGCCAAGGTCAAGGACGACTGACGCGCATCACTTAATCGCATGTCATGGACTGGCGTATATGGTGGTGGTCTCTATCTCTGTACTCATTCTTACCAATATATTTCCTCAATAACGTCCTTTGTGTTATACGGTCTTCAAAGCAGCCATAATACTTTGATAAATCGAAGTGGAAACTCACGTTAGATGCGTACCACGAAGTGTGACTCCAAAGTTAGCAGGTTCGTTAATTCATTCCCAACTACCTTGAGTAAACCGCTTATCATTCGACATAGATCATCTACATTGGCGATCTACAAATTCAGCGACTTCTTGAGTTTCAAGATGAGGTCGTGCATACTCATTCGAGAGCTCCATGAACATTTGTCGGGTGACGGCGACCAACTGTCTTTGTACGAAGCGCAGAGTGATATTGGCCTTGGCAGCATCCCCAGAGAAGTCAACTTTAGTGTCAAATTAGCTGTGGACCGCCTTCAGCAGAGACAACTGAGGGAAGGTTGTTGTAGAGTGTGTAAGTGATTCCTGATCCATGAGGCTGAATATTCACATTACTACTCGTCGTACCGTATGGAGCTTCATATAAGCTCAGATTAGGGTACTTACCTAGAAGGATATTCATGAAAGTTGAGAGTAGGAGTTGACCCAAGACAGTTTTACACATCAGAGCTGGTGTTGTCGCGCTCCAGAGTCCATGAGCCTTGTATATATTACTATGAAACATCCGATTCTCCGTGTAGTTTGTAAACCAGAATGAAAGTGAGTTAAGGAAACATTTTTGCAAAATTTGCCGTGCATGCAGTACAGCACAATATTTTGCGGAGTAACATTATTAAATCCTAGTAGGTTTTCTGTCCAAAGCAGTGAGAAGATTGAAAATGAAAGACTCGCCTTCTCAGAACCTATATTGCGCTCCATGGAGGACGCTGGTTTCGTTCTTCCATTCTCTTAATCAATCAGTCTCACCAATTTCAAATCAATATACAGCATGTGTTCACCCTTAAAATCATGAAAACCTCTATATACCAAAGACGAATAGTCACGGAAAGTTTGTGACAAAAACAATTTTTGTCAGAGACATCAACAAATGCAGAAGAAGACAGTCAGTGTAGCAGTAGTCTCTGCATCAGTGGGTCTCAATATGCACAAAAGAAAAAGTAAGATCCTCACATACAAGACGGAGAACACCAATCCAATCACACTTGATGGCGAAACTATGGAAGATGTGGAATCGTTCACGTACGTGGGAAGCATCATCGATGGACAAGGAGGATCGGATGCATACATAAAGGTGAGGATTGGTAAAGCACTGGCCACATTCCTACAATTGAAGAACATATGGAACTGAAAACAATTATCTATCAACCAATATGAAAGTGAGAATGTTCAATAAGAACGTCAAGACAGTTCTACTATACGGAGCTGAAACAAGGAGAAGTACCAAGACAATCATCGAAAGTGTACAAGTATTTATAAAAATTGCCTACTGACGATACTCAATATCCATTGACCGTATACCATGATCAACAGCGTACAGTGGGAGAGGACAAACCAGGTTCCATCTAAGGATGAAATTATGGAAAAGCGCTGGAAGTGGATAGGACATACATTACTGAAGTCGCCAAACTGCATGACGAGGCGCATCTGAACTTGAAATCCTGGAGGGAAACGGAAAAGGGGAAGGCCAACGAACAAATTGCGTCGCGGATTGGAAGCAGGTATCCAAAGAATGAATAGCAATTAGAAACTGCTGGAAAGGAATGAACAGAACAGAGTTCAGTCGAGAATTTCGATCAGCGGCCTATGCTTTGGGTATTGGGTACTTCACCGAATGATTCTCTGGATGCAACTTGTTGTTGTTTGTCACTGTCTATCTAAGCATAAAGAAGTGAATATCACCAAGTAAGTTTAACTAGGTAATCTCATCACAGGAAAGGTGCTATTTAAGCACAAAATTACGTATAGAATATCAAAAATGTGCAAAATACATAAATTGTTTTCCCTTCAGTGAGACTTGTGTAATCGACTTATTCAAATGCAAAATTGAACCAGCTAGACAAGGAAACTTTTGTCTTTCCAAAACGATGAAATTAAAGTACTAGGTTTTAACAAGAATCAGTGTTAAACAATACAAAACTGGTTACTTGTTAGAGGAAGAATAAACTCTTGATGAACTAGGAACATATTCTTATTGACAAATGTAAAATCAAACCACTGAACTCCAGAAGTATCAATGAAGACAAGTTAGAGCTGACCATCCCACTTGTAGACTGTCTCGATCATACAGGAGAGGGGATACCAACACGGGAAACCTTGTTCAAGTAGGTTACCTGTCCATTCACGCAAGGTTCATACAGACAAACAGGAAGAAGAAGCTCATACGTTTCGAATTGAAAGCACAAACTACTTATACATGAACGCCGCGAGCTTGTCAAATAAAATGGATGAGCTACGTGAACTCAGCAGTGCTAATATTGCTCACCTGTTATCCCGATCTACGCATCCCAGATTCACTCATTTCCTGATCCTAGGGGACTTCAATCATCCTAAAGTCAATTTCACAGAACATACGTATGCTTGATGTGAAAACTCTTCTGAAGCTTGGTTCTTCAACCTCATTGAGGATCTGGGATTATTCGAATATATGAAGTAGGCAACTCGTTGGCGAAGCAGCCAGACGCCGTCGCGCTTAGACTGAGTATTTAAAAGCGAGGAATTCTCAGTTGACAACCTCTCAATCCTGGCAATACAAACATATAAGGAACATATGCACAAAGGCAACAAGAAGAGACAGGTTTCAGTACCAGATACAGCTTATGGATAAATTTATCTTCAACTCGAAAAGCTTATTCCGTTATGCAGCCTCTCTTCGACAAGCAAAAATTAGAGCTTTCTAACTGCTGGGTCCTAATCGCCAACCAATAACGACGGTGACACCGCCAACCTTCTGGCTAAACAATACTCTCGGACATTTCAATCGACCCACATTAACTACATTGATGAAAGCTTCATCTACAACTGCACAGGACTTTCCGAAGTGAGCCCGAGCGTAGACTTGGTGTACCGGAAACCGCAACACTTCTAGCTCACTTATGGTTCATTCTGATATACTGAGGTAAGCAGCATCAATCCTGGCAACACCGCTTAGCGTGATGTTATCACGCTCGCTAAGCCAAGGCAAACTACCGGAAATTTGGAAGCTGGCTGACACCACACCAATTTTCAAAGCAGGTCGACGCAGCGAAGCTTCAAGCTACCGACCAGTGGCTCTTCTCTCTATACCTTCAAAAATTATGGAGTCCCTAATTTGCTACGGTATACACGACTATTTATCATCCTTAAACTTCATTTTACCCCAACAACATGGTTTCACGAATAGTCATTCTTGCATAACTCACCTGCTGACCGCGGTGGACAGATGGACAAGCATCCGTGATCGCAAGGGGAAGGTTGACGTCATTTGCCTTGACTTCTCAGAAGCTTTTGATAGGGTCAACCACATATGTCTTATCAATAAGCTCAAACGATTGGGTATCAAATCACCTCTAATTGATTGACTCACTTAATATCTAAGGAATCGATATTTTAAGGTCAGGGTTAACTTCAATTTCTCTCAGGCTATGGAATATTCCGGTGGTCCCCCAGGCTTCAGTACTAGGGACTGTTCTTTTCTTGGTTTATATAAACGATCTTCCACAAAAGGTGTTGTCCGAGTTATTAATTTTTGCTGATGATGTGAAACTCTGTAGAGAGTGATGCGCAACCAAGAGGATATACTGGCCCTTCATGAGGATCTGACTCGACTTCAAAGTCGGGCAGATGACAACGGACTTACCTTTAACACTTCAGTGTGTAAAGTGGTCGATCCGAGACATGTTGCAGACTAAAGTTAAAACTTAGGAAGCTCCTCTCTAGAAGTATCCCAAGTCGAAAAATATTTAGGAGTGTTGGTACCCTACGATTTGAAGTCTTACGCTAACTGTGACCGAAATGCCTTTCGAGCAAGCCTTGCACTGGTAACATTGAAGCGCATTTCGGGCTAGTTTGACGGAAGAACTTTCCTCACAATCTTTAACAGTTTCATTCGTCTCCATTTAGAGTACGGAAACATAGTATTTCCTCCCTCGCTCCAAAGGATAAGGACACTCTGGAGCGTATCCAACGGCGAGCCACGAAATCAATTCAGGGACTCAAATTCAAGCCTTATGAAGAGCGCCTCCAATGACTACGCCCTTACCCATTAGAATATGGGCGTCTTAGAGTTGGCGTTCTAATGGCTTACAGTATCCTTAACACTTCTGGATATCCCCTTAAACACCTAGTTCAGTTTAGCTCCAACACAAACCTAAGGGGTAACACTTAGAAACTGGAGACACAACATAGCAGAGTAGACTGTAGACTCAACTTCTACTCCTTAAGAGTTTTCAAATGCTGGAATTCGCTTCCAACTGAGCTAGTCCAAGCAACTTCCCAGGAGTCCTTAAAGAGGAAACTTGACCTATTCTTCAGGACTAAAGATAAAATCTTACTATGATTTACCAATTTCTTTTTTCGTTCATTATCGTTAATATACCCGGGTTCCTGCCTGGAGGTAGTGGTGATCCACTGCTACTAGACACGGAATCCATTAAGCGGAAGCTTCTTCTATTCCGTCCACAACCATTTGGACTCTGTTTCCGATAGCATCAAAGTTTTAAAAATGTCAGATCATAGGATAGATAATAAGGATCATGGACCATAAACGCCTTTTATGAAGTGCGACACGGGTTCAGTAAAATCAGGTCTCATGTTTTTAATCTCCTTCTTGCACGAGATGGTTGAATAATGTGTTGGAACAAAAAATTGTAGATGCATTTAATACTTCTTAAATTTACGGAAACGTTAGACAGTCAACTGATCGGGTACAACTGAAGAGGTTTTACTATGAGAAACGCCAAGAAGAGATAGCTAAGAAGCAAACTAGATTACACTAGCTCGTCACAGAAACGTTGGATACTGTACCTTTTAACCTTGATTTTCTTGTGTTTTTTCAAATATGCACATTGTTTTCGCAAAAGAGTCTGAGGTCTCACGTTATGCGTTTCTGGCTGATTGTAATGATATGCACAAGGCCTTTATAAAGTTTCTATCATTTGTTGTTACTACTGACTTTAAGAGGATTAGACCAACAGCTTTTTTTAAGTTGGTGCTTTGAAATGTCTAAATCACCAATACCAACAGTGAAAGGACAAATATTTGAGTTAGGACCAAGGTTTGACAACGTTCAGTATGTTGGAGAAGGTGCGTATGGGATCGTTGTGTATGTTGGGTCGTTTCATAAACTATGATTAAGATCGGCGTTTGATTGTCAGCGTAATGAAAAAGTGGCTCTGAAGAAAGTTTCCCCATTTGAACACCAGACATACAGTCAAAGAACGTACAGGGAAATCTGGATACTTAGTAGAATGGACCATGAAAATGTTTGTTATTAGAAAGTTTGCATTCGCTTACAAATAAATTTACAGGTTGTAAAAATCCATGATATTATAACGTCAAACACATTTGAAGAGATGAAAGATATGTAAGTCTATAGTACTGTCTAATTGTATATTCACTGTTAAGCTATATTGTTGAATGTTTCATGGAAACTGACCTGTGTCGCTTACTAAAGACACAAAAATTAAGCAATGATCATATTTGCTACTTTTTATATCAAATGCTTAGAGGTAACCTTGTATCATCCATTCATGATTCATCTTCAGGCCTCAAGTACATACATTCTGCAAATGTTCTTCATAGGGATCTTAAGCCATGCAACATCTTGTTGAATGCAGCGTGTGACTTAAGAGTAAGTCTCTGTACGTTTTTTGGATTTTTATCACAAATGCTGCCGAAATCCATACATGCAAAACTTTCAATTTATAAACATCACATTACTTGATTAGTTTCTTTTATATTACATGTACTCATAAACTGTTTGATGAGCCTGTAGTTTGTCAATCCAAGTGCTTTAATGTTTATTTTTTACTATTGAGTGGATGTCATTACTCGTATATAATAGTAATTGAAATTCAACCTGTTTTGGAATTCTACCTAAGCAAAATCATTGTTTTAACAACTGCCAACTAGAATGAGTTCTAGATCATGAAGTTGGTTTATTTTGAGATGTACAACCTGGTTATTGTCCTAGCAGTTATTATCATTGATTGATCAAGGTATCAATTGACTTGGGTACAAATCAATTTCTGTAGTCAAAATACACCCTATTTTATCCATAAAACTGCATATTCTCCTACAGCCCTTAATAATTAAGGTTACATTTTTGTTTGAAAACCATATTCTCCATATCATCTTTATTAATTTAATTTGTTTGATTTTCCTCTCAGTGATTTTTTCACACGGTACTGTAGGAGCTTGGACTGAAATGCATTTATGCAAAATCCTTCGTTATTTGTGCCTAGCTATTCATTTTTGTGTGTCATATACAATATTATGCTAATCAAACCGGTTAATTTTTTGACTTACATTTTATCAATGACCAGAAACCATCTCCATAAAGTCTACCACTTCTAATAAACTCGTTTTTAGCCACCTAATGAACCGCCCAAACAAAAAATTGTGCACAGGTAACGAATGTCACAAACTAATGCCTTGGTCAATGAAACACCTAGCTTCTAACTGATAGGTCAAATGTTGAAACCTTACGATGCGTACTTCAGTTTAAATGGATGGATAACGTCACTAACTCCCATGCAGACAATGTGGCTTACAGACGAGAATACAGGCCTGTACCGGGTAGATAAACTCCACTTTTTTTGAATTAATCACGCAACCAGTTGTAAGCGCAAATATATATTTCTAGGACGTTCTTATGTGTGTGGTATTTCGTCGATTAAATGCTTAAATAAGGTTTAGTAACAAATGTATCCTTGCAAACTTATGTGCATTCAACAAATCGGTTACATGCGGCACAATATTTCCACACAAATGCTTACACAAAGCTACATGGGTCTCTTTGGATCACACCACAGAATTGATAAAAAATCCAGAAGGACGATGAAGGACGTGAGGACGAGGAATGGAGATGACACAGCTTCAGATCATCACTTGATTGTGGCTAAGATGAAACTGAATCTAATGAAACACTGGCCAACTGGATAAACAGCAGTAAAAGGTTCAATTTAGCCTTCCTATAAGATACTAACAAACTCAACGAATTCACGACAACTCTCAACAACTGGTTCCAAGTGTTACAGGATCTAGTGAAAAAAAGAAAAAACTACTATGGAGGACAGTTGGAAGGGGATCAAAGAAGCACGACCTTCAGCGTGTCAGGAGGTTTTGGGCCACAAGAAGCATTATCATAAGAGATGGATCTCTATGGGAAACTTGCACGAGGTTCAAGAAAAGAAGAACAACAAGATAGCAATTAACAACAGCCGAACAAGAGCAGAGAAAGTCAAAACACAAACTGAATACACTGAAGCAAACAAGCAAGTGAGGAAGAGCACTAGAGCCGACAAGCGGAAGTACGTGAAAGAGCTAGCAATGACAGCGGAAAAAGCTGCGATAAGGAGATATGAAACAAAAAAAGCTAGCAGGGAAATATAGTAAACTAGGGAGACCGGTTAATGACAAAGAAGGAAAGACAGTCACCGAGGTACAAAAACAGAGGAACAGATGGGCAGAATACATCAAGGAACCTTTGAATAGACCAGCTTCATTGAATTCACCAAACATCGAAGCAGAACACACAAACCTTTTTATAGATGTCACTTCACCAACGACAGAAGAAATCAGAATAGCCACCAGACAAATCAAGAGCGGGCATTCATCAAGACCTGACAATATACCAGCTAAAACACTGAAGTCAGACATAGAAGCAACTAAAAACATGCTCCACGTTCTGTTCAGGAAGATTTGGGAAGAAGAACAAGTGCCGACGGACTAGAAAAAAGACACGTCTTCAAGATACCAAAGAAAGGAGGTCTAAGCAAAGGTGAGAACTACAGTGGCACCACACTACTGTCAGTACCAGGTGAAGTTTCCAACAGTGTTGCTGAACTAGATGAAAGGTTCAGTAGACACCCGACGTCGAGATAAACAAGCTGGACTCCGTAAGGATCGGTCGTGCACAAACCAAATCGCGACATTATCGATCATCGTTGACCAATCAGTTGAATGGGACTCAACTTCTTTGACTATGAGAAGGCGTTTGACAGTGTGGATAAGAGGACCTTATGGAAACTTCTTCGACACTATGGTGTACCTGCCAACATCGTTGACATCATCCGGAATTCATATGAAGGACTACAGTGCAAAGTGGTTAATATTTAATAAGATAACATCTATCAAGAGTTTACAAGACTTTAATTGTCTATTCACAACTATATTAATAATAACCTCAAAAGATTTACTATACACTTTGCTAACTACCTTTTCTTACAAGTTTATTTATTTTTATTGCATAGTAAAAAATTTTTATTCAATAATTCAAGCAAACCAAAATTTATTGTGAATGATTTAAATTAAGCAATTGTAATAAAATATTGTTACAGTTAGTGATTATTCTCTATTTATATCCTGTGTGTATCTCTCCCTCCCCCTCTCTCTCTTTGTGTGTGTGTATGTGTGTAAGTTTAATCGTCAAACAGTTTAATTTAGACAAATAATTGAAACCTTCTTTTTTCCACTTGACACTTGGGTAATATAGGCAATAAACATTTTGCAGAAAATAAAATTTGATTATATAATAAAATTAATTGAAATATAAGAAATTAGAAAACATTGAACTATTGTTCCGTTTTTTGTTTGTAACTTCTTAGTTATGATACTTTAACAGTTAATTTGTATGAGAAAAAAATTAGTTTAGAACTTTCTAACTTGATTATTTGACTGCATTTCATGAAATAATCATGATCAATGGTTAGAAAGGTTGGATTCCGTAAGGATTGATTTTGTACAGGCTAAATTGCGACATTACGGATCATCATGGAACTCGTCACTATACATCAACTTTCTTGATTATGAACAGGCGTTTGACAGTGTAAAGAGGAGAATATTATGGAAACTTCTTCGACACTACGGAGTTCCTGAGTAGATTGTCAACATTTTCCGGAACTCATACGACGGACTACAGTGCAAAGTGGTGCATGGAGGACAATTGTCAGATGCATTCCAAGTAAGGATTGGAGTCAGACAAGACTATCTACTCTGCCCATTCCTGTTTCTTCTGGTGGTCGACTGGATTATGAAGACCTCGACATCTGAGGGAAAACACGAGATACAATGGACAGTTCAGAACCAATTAGACGATTTGGACTTCACAGATGACCTAGCTCTCCTATTCCATACACAAGAACAAATGCAGAAGAAGACAGCCAGTGTAGCAGCAGTTTCTGCATCAGTGGGTATCAATATGCACAAAGGAAAAAGTAAGATCCTCGCATACAAGACGGAGAACACCAATCCAATCACACTTGATGGCGAAACTATGGAAGATGTGGAATCGTTCACGTACGTGGGAAGCATCATCGATGGACAAGGAGGATCGGATGCATACATAAAGGTGAGGATTGGTAAAGCACTGGCCACATTCCTACAATTGAAGAACATATGGAACTGAAAACAATTATCTATCAACCAATATGAAAGTGAGAATGTTCAATAAGAACGTCAAGACAGTTCTACTATACGGAGCTGAAACAAGGAGAAGTACCACGACAATCATCGAAAGTGTACAAGTATTTATAAAAATTGCCTACTGACGATACTCAATATCCATTGACCGTATACCATGATCAACAGCGTACAGTGGGAGAGGACAAACCAGGTTCCATCTAAGGATGAAATTATGGAAAAGCGCTGGAAGTGGATAGGACGTACACTACTAAAGTCGCCAAACTGCATGACGAGGCGCATCTGAACTTGGAATCCTGGAGGGAAACGGGAAAGAGGATGGCCAAACAACACATTACTTCGGGAGATAGAAATGAAAAGGATTAATAACAACTGAAAAGGATTTCCCAGGACAGGGTTGAATGGAAAATGTAGGTGAGCGGTCTATCCTCCTCCACGAGGAGTAACAGATGTAAGTATGTAATTAATGATTAGAGACGTTGAATCTGATGGTTTCGGATTTATCTGAGTAGCTTAGATGTATTCATATTACCTTAAATCTTAGTATTTCTTTGTACATACCTTCTTCTCAAACTGTTTTCCTAATGTTTTGGCTTTTTTTACTACTATTGATACTAGTATTCTTTTGACTGCATTGTTTCTCATGACGTTAATTTAGCTTCGACATGCTGATATGGTTTGGTCAACTGAGGCTGATGTTAGTTTGTCTCAAGGTCTATGTTGATAATGACTGACTAACTGGTAATGTATTACAACTAAGTTACTACGTCTACAGTTCTCACTATAATAACATGAATTTAACATCGATTGATTTTGTGAGCGAATAATATTAAGGAATCCAATACTAGGACTGTCCATTCTTATGAATCTCTAATGGTCTATTTTTCGAGTGATATCAGTTTACCATGGAAATTATCATTTTAATAGTACGGAATCTGTAAAAAATTACCTTTTGTAAACTGTTTTATATTTTAATGCATAATATTTGTCAATGTTCTTATTTTCCCATTGATTATGCTAAGAACTAATGTTTGTCGGTTTCCTACTTGTCTTACACTCGTTGCATATGTTAGTAACTATCTGCACTCAATAGTCTGGTGGGATAATGCGTCGATATTTGAAGTGAAAGGTAGTCGATATAAGTCTCAATATAAACATCAACATTAGATTACTGGTTTTCATCTAGATAGTGAGTTTTAAATAGAACGA